CAGCTGCAGCCCCAGCCAGAGGGAAGCACAGGCACATCAGCAGCACTTGCCTGGAAGCCAAAGCTCTCCCAGCACAGGCTGTCAGGGATATATGCAGCAGGGGAAGCATGTGCAGCTGTGGGGGGTCCAGGAAGGCTGTCAGAGTTGGGCATAAGATCAGCAACCTTAAACCACTAGTCCATTCTTTACTATTAGTTCCTTGTTTGCTTATCAGTTCTTATTAAAGTAAAAAATAATAACACATGGTGTTATTATTAACATGGTGGAACACTGTTAACCACAACTCAGCTCCCACTTGACCACAGATTCCCTGGACACTGGGGAGGAAGACATGAAGGACTGACTGAACACACTAGTAACAACTTGAAAAACATGTAATAATATGAAAAATATAATGAATCATTCTCCTGCTTTGCTGAATACAGAGTGCCTTACTTGCAGGTTTATACATTCCATAATGTCTCATAAATATATGGCAAGTACAACAAGTAGCTCTTTTAGAGATATGCTAGACCTTCTTTTCAGCAACAAGATGTGCTTTGAACTCTGTTGGAGGGTTCTCTAGTATTTATGGGCAAGAAGATGACCTGAATAATTTGTCCTTTCTGGTACCAGCACAGGGAACATCTTGCATCTAGGGATTTGGATACATCTGGTTTGGGAAACATAAAAAATTGGGTTGTTGATTCAGGCCAAGCTCTGTCACTGGTTTCTGCAGGACTTTGGATATCATGTTCAGATAAGGCACCAGGAAGTCTTGGATCTTCTCCAGTCTTCTGTTGAGAGAATAATAATCAAGACATCACCCTCAGCTGACAAACCAAACAGAGAACAGATTGTAACAGTGTAAGAGGCAGCTCCTCTGACAGGTACAGGACTAGACTGACCTCAAGAGATGCAAGATTTCTGATTAGTAGAAACACCTAAGTCTTATTTTTCAGGAGAATAGTGACATAAGAAATCACATTATCCCATAACTAGTTGGGGTGATAGGTTAGGCATCTCCTAATAGGTTAGGTATCTCATCTTGAGCTCAAGTTCAAGACTTCACCATGAACTCCAAAAGGCAGCTGAAACAGACTGACAGCTGAATCCCACTGGGCTCTGAAGAGCTGGTATTGAGGCAAGAGGAAATCACCTCTTTTCCACAATCAGTCTGCATCAGAAGGACATTTTCCTGCTTCTGGTTCAGATGTCACAAGCAGAGAGAAAACAGGCTCCTCTGCAAAGCCTTTAAATGTTCAAGTGGTAAGATGGAGGAACCCCAGCTCGCTTCAGAAAGACATGGAGAGGTCAAGATAAGAAAGCTGTCCCATCTACAAGTTTTAGCTGGGAAAATTTCCCAAAAGGTCCAGGGAAAGGGGGTGAAAAAAGTTCTAGAAAACAAGAGCAGGACTCTTTAACAATTCATTAGAAGCTTCCTCATGCCTTGAAGAGCTGAGGGAACTTGGATATCATTACTGAACACACAAAGAGCAGGTAGCTTTCTGAGCCACCTGCATGTCTCCATGGCAGAAGAGTCACTTGCTGTTTGATGCTGCGTTCAACTCCTGCCTGCCATTTTAGCTTCTCCACTGAAATGAAATGAAAAATATCTCCCAATGTCTGTGCTAGTTTCTGTCTTCTTCCAGCACCACCTCCAGTCATTCAGTTCTGGTGACCTAGGATTCTATCTAGGTACAAGGAAGTAACAATGCAAGCTCTTTTATCCTATAGATGAAGAGTGATGAAGCATGTGCAGAAACTGTGGGACAAGAAAGTTCAAGCACAACACATTCATACACAGCCACAGCAGACTGCATGAGGACTCTAAGTTTGGCAAGTGGAAGTCTCTGAAATGCAGTGGGAAATCACTTGGCATGAAAGCTGCAAATGAATCCACCACAGAACTTATACCAAGCATGCCCAATTGTTGAGTTATTAATGAAAGAGGAAGAAGGGAAACAGGAGTAACCGTAATATGAGACTGAGGTTTCCATTGGTGATTCTTATCTAAGGAAATCACTGACCACATAAGAGAAAATCCCAAAATTTCAATTTAGTGACTTGCCCAGCAGCAAAATCAAAGGCAGGTGGTGGATATAATAGACAATACTGGTCAAACTGTTTCTTTCTGCACAGCACTCGGTAAACAGAGTCGCCGCTATTGAGTTCTAACCTCTTGTCATGCAGCAACATTGAGTCAACAATCCGCTCTCATGGCTTAATGCTTTTGATGTTTACTTTGTTCTTTGTATAGTTCAAAAGAAAGCACTAATGCACCAGTCCTCTTACCAAATACAATCTTAATCCCAGAATCCCGAGCCTTTTGCTGTTGGCCAGTTAAGTCTGTTAAGACGAAAGGATTTGATCAAGCTTTACATAACAACACAGAAGTTAAATCCAGCAAAGAGAGTTCTTTTTATCTGTACTGCTCAGACGGCTAAGAGGGGGGAAAAAAGAGAGGGAGGGGAAAAAAAAGGTAATGAACTTGGCTATGTAAAACAAAATAAGGAATTCAATTATCTCTTATTGCCACTTTGTCTTTTCAGTGAGTCTTCTAAAGAACTCAGATTTATTTTCCAGCAAAGTTCCTGGGTGTGAAAGCTCTAACTCCCCCAAAGCAGAACTGTGGTACCTGCTGTGCTTTTCTGCAAATCTGAGAAATGTTTCTTTTTCATTTGTTTTCCCCGATCCCTACCATGTATTTATGAAGGCAGAATATAATTCATTGATTAGACATTTGCATGGTATTTGGTAGAGCTGGGTTCAAACCTTTGTTTTGCCATTCATGTCCTCTGTGAGCTTAGTCCAACCAACCACATTTGAGTGTTACAGCTCCCTGTCTTTGCAACTAGCTATCAGAGATTTTGATGATGTCTTATGATCCATGAACATATAGTCATGCAGCCACACATATCACACCAGTACATACATAAAGATCATGAGGCAGCAAAATAAAGGCTGAACAAATATTTAAGATGAGAAGATTAATCTACATTTTAGAATATTCATTACATTTTCCCACAAAAACATTTCTATGCGGAGAAGAGACACAACACTGGTCGTCTTGTACCTAAGTCACACAGAATTCCAGTTGTGCCCTAACAAAGATCTCAAATCATGTTTCAGCTTCACCTTATGCTAACATCACAACTTAATGCTAGTACTAAGCACAATCATTAAAAATATGCCAGCAAAAAGTATGAAGTTATACAAAAGGGGTGTTTCAACACAATGCTCACAGTGTTGTCTGATAAGATTTTCAATATCCTGTTAACACAATGCTCATTGTATTGTCTGATAAGATTTTCAATATCCTGTTCAAATGGAAAGTGGCTAACACTGTCTCCAGCATGCAAAGCATAGCCTGGAGATCTGAAAGCAGAAGGGATGAGGACCAACCTTTGACAATCTGCACACCCCATTATGCAAAGCATAGCCTGGAGATCTGAAAGCAGAAGGGATGAGGACCAACCTTTGACAATCTGCACACATTTGCCTGAGTACTAGGTGGGAACAGTCATCCTCCTCCCAGCTGGAAAGATGCCACAGAACAGCTCTTCCCTGGTGGCAGCTCACAAAGGATGGACCAAAATCTATCTAAACCTCATCTTCACTACTCAGCTACTTCCTCACAAATGAGATGCATGAGAAGTAATAACATGAAACTGATGGAAGACTGAAATTACAGTAACCTAGAAGGTTTCACACCCTAATAAAAACAATCCTGCTGCTGCCTAGTTTGGAAATATTACATATTTAATACTAACTTTGCTATGCAAGACAATTCTACACAACAAAGAAAGAAATAATAAGAGGCAAGGAAAGACAGAACAAGACAAAGAAAATGAAATTATTCACCTTGCTGACATTTAATATCCTGTGTGAAGTAGTTTCTCCTGTAATTCTAAAATTCAAAACCTACCCTTTATTAATCTATGTCCTATTATGGGCAGAAAGGAAAACTGTGGTGAAGTTAAATACTGAAACACTCAACAAACACTGACTCCATCATGGCAAATATATTTTGCTTTTGTGATTAATGGTAGCTTACAAGGACCAGCTGAAATCAGTTCCTATGTTATGGTACATACAAAGGAGCATTCTTTGTAAACTACAGAGATGACAGAAACACAGAATCCAAGACACATGGTCTATTAACACATTCACAGGTAAGGGACTGGAAGGCAGACATTCTTAACAAAGAGAATCTTTCAAATTCTGTTTAGACAGAAGCCTCCAATATCAGAAACAAATGACTGGATTACAAAAGGATGGAAATTTCCAACTTAAGCTTGCCATGGTTCATTGCTTTAAATAAACTGGGCATATTGTTTCCACTAGCCCATAGCATAAATCTACCACACATACTAGAGAGTTTCTGAAGTCTTACTTCCTTGCTATTTGAAAGGAATAAGCAACAATTAATCTCCTCCATTCACCAACTCCCAACTTGACCAACTGAGGTTCTAGGTACCTCGGATGCTCTCTCTCTGGCACACAGAACACAGCAACTGTACTCAAGGTCCCCAAAGATCCTTGTCACTACAACAAAGATTCCATCATCACTGCCTGATCACAGAGGAGGAGATGAGATGGAAAGCTGTCTGAGGCAATAATGATTCCATTCATATTCCAGAAAAATATGTTGAGTAAGAGTCTCTAGTCTTTATTAGAAATTAAAGTTGAAGTTTCTAAGTCTTGTTTGTGTAATGCATTCGTCACCTCTGCTAGGGACAGTGGAAATCAATACTGCTACCAATGCCAAGAGAAGCACCTGGAAAAAATGGAGACCTTGAATGAAAAGATTTGATCCCTGTGATACAACTGGGTGACTTGTTTTGATCCTATGGTAGCAGATAGAGAAATAATACCCTATTTCCATCTTAACAGTGTTTCCAGGCAAATGATACACCAGTAGGTCTAGAACTGCACTCTCAATATTCTCACACTGATTTGTTCACTAGCTCACTCCGATATCCTTTTATATTAAACAAGAAATTTTGTTCTTTAATTACCTTCTAGATGAAAGTGCTCATCACCAATAGTGTCTCTGTAGCCTTCCCCAGATAAATCCTGTAAAAAAAAAATTTCAAAATTAATGACAAATATACTATATACAAAGTGCTGAAGTGTTAAGAATATGTATTTATTATTGCCAGAATTAATTTAAACACTAATGAGAGCACAGAAGCTGTTTTCCAGGAAAGAAGTCAATCACTTTATTAGTGGCAGTCAATGCATTTGATGCTATTTTACAATGCTTTGAACATACTTTTGGACAAAAAAATTAATGGAGATTAATTGACTGTAGAGGGGAAAACAAAAAGAAAGGTTCATATTCAAATCCTTTTACAAAGTAGATTAATATTTAGCATTTCAACTTTCTGTCAATCAATCAATCAATATTAAAAAAAACTCCAAATGGAAATGATAAAACCCTTCAGTACCCACAGAGGAATGTTATCACTTGGTTCCACCAACAAACAGAAAATGTTCATATGCCAGAGGTCACCCAAGAAAAGCAGATACCAGACTCTGATGAGCTGCCTGGTCCTTCAGTCTTGAAATTAATGAAATTTTGTCAGCCCCAGTACATCTAGAACAATACAGAACCAGATGCCATAGATATGCAGATGGATTTATCTCAGACCCAAAAAACATTTCTCCAATGGTGCTGAAGTAGTAATAAAGGGCATCAGTGAGATTTGGAACTAATCCCTTTTACAAAGACCCTGAAGAGCATTCTTACTCTCTTATTAGCAGATCCTTCCAGCTCCATCCCCCCCTCCAGCTAAACCATAAGCAATGACAGCTATCCTCATGTATTGCCTTCTCTTACTTATTCCAAAGGCTCTAGCATCACCACAACTTCACTGACCTTCCATTAGAGTCTTGCTCCCTAGATTCTCCACAAACACACTCTACCACTCGTACACAGTTATGGTGACAAAGAAGGACATGGGCCTAAAAAGTTGGTGTGCTGCACTCATGGCCATTTCAACTTCAGCTACAAAAATGTTCCAGGAACACAGAGCCAGCACTCCAAGCATCAACCTGTGAGCTGGAAGTGGACAGTAGAGAGCTTTATGTACAAGATAAGAATAAGGGAATAACCTATGAAAATTAATGTCTGGTTGTATTCATGAGTTTTATTGTTACGGAATTTGATCATGACAAAGTCAGTTCACCTCTTTTTCTTGAAAAAGCTGACAGAGCTTCTTTGCCTTCCACATGCCCAAATGTTATTCTTTGAGATTAGCTATCACAAAGTAACTAAGCCACAAAAGCATATATCAGGAATTCTTCTGTATCCATTTCTGCAATAGCATGTTCAAAATTAGATTTCACAAACATTACTGGATAGCTAGTCTAGAAACCCTGAAAATCCTGTTCTGTTCATGAGCAGATCCCCTGACGTACAGTTAGACCCTGCAGGATGAATGGCTCTGAGAAATGCTGGCAAACAATCCCAGAATCCTGGGACACTGCACAGCACAATGCTGCTATGACAGCAGCATCCTGGATTCAGCTTTCCAGGAAGCAAATCACCAAAAAACACCCTGGTTTTGTTTGAGTTTTTTTGAGTTCTTGTTTCAGTAAAAGAGGTCTTTTTTCCTGGGCATGTGCTGATTAAAATCAATCATTACCCTAAAAATCATGGAAGAAACAGAGAACGAAAAGAAGACATAAAATGCTGGTGTGATGTATCTTATTTCTGCAAGATGATGGTCTTTCCAGGACCATCTATAAGTTAGTATACATTTGATCAAATTCCTCCACATCATCACTTTCCATGAAGCTCTCCCACAATGCTAAATATCAAATAACTGTTTTGTTCTATTATTAATTTTTTACTAAATGCAGAATTCCTGCTTCCTTGGGAAAAAAAAATATATTCTGTTAACCTGGTCAGCAAATATGCAATGAGTAGGTATGATCCTACTTGTGTCTCTGAGGAGAACTCTATCTAGATGGCAGCCTCCTAAAATTTTAGCAATGCAAGCACTGCATCTAGGTATCAAACACTGCCTGTTAAAATTATGTCATTAATCTCATCCTCTACAAAACTCACAAGTCATTAATTTTTATGTTTTTTCAAAAGGCATCACCTAAAAATGAGGATACATTTGTTGATGCAAAATGCACTATCAAGTCACGTGAATGAAGACAGTGGAAGACAGAGGAAAACAGCAGAGTGAAGCATTAATATTCATCCACTAGCTTCCTTATTTTCTCATTTTGATCATTACATGGGCCTTAAGTAAATATGCTTTATATTCTAGTCTAGTTTCATTCCTTCTCTAGCTCCTAGTTATTTAAGTTAAAATAGTAACTTAATGCAAGCAAATCTCCAGTAAGTGTTTCCCCCTTAAACCAAATTACTATAAATTAACACATTCTACAAAGTGTTTTCATGCTGTTGAACCATAATATAACTGTTAGACAGCACATAAATTGACAATCCATCCTGAAACTGATGAAAGCAGTGTTTGAACATTTAGTGACACATTTAAGCAGAACACCTCAGCTCCCATTCCAACATGTTCTTCTGTGTGTGTAAGATTATGACATGTATTATCTTTGATAGACAGACATGTATCTGCGAGAGGTGTGGGCAACTTTTAAGATTTTACAGTTAAAAAAATGCAGGGGAAAAAATAAGATACTCTCTCATTCATCTTATCATCATTAACTCTACTGTCAAAAAAACTGCAAGAGTTACCTGAATATTTTTAGCACCACTGAGACAGATGTCACAACCTGGATAAACACTAAACTGCACCTGCTTGAGAAAAGATTTTGGGCAGTGTATGTAAACTCACATTCAATAGAAAAGCATGAATGCTGAGCAAGCATTAGAGAAAATAATTCTGACCACAGCTCATAACTGCATCATCGAGTATTCTCCCAGTAACCTGTACAAATTGCCTTAAAATGAGCAAAACAGTCCAAATTGATAGAGTGGACTAGAGTGAGAGAAGAGGGTAAATGTGTAAAACATAACTTGCAGCTCAGGAAATTATAGTGGGAAACAAATGCTATAGGCAGGTAGGAATATTTGGGACTGGGGAGAAGTGTGGTCAAGCACAGATTAAACACAGGCTCAGGGGGAACACAGCCAGCAGCATCTCTGTGTTTGGCCAGGCTCTGCTGCGTGGGCCTCAGCACCCACCCCAGGGCAGGAGCACAGCACACAGCAGGACTCACTGCCCAAGAGCAAAAGCAACAACGTTTAGGTCATAGGCAGTTGTATATCACTGTCCTGACACGATGTTTTAAATCACAACACTGCATTTTCAAACTGGAACACTGAGTCATGAAACAACCAAAACCAGATGTACCCTGTGAAATACTATATAAATGAGGTCAGCGAGCACTTGAAAGAATAAACAAAAGAAACATTTACATAGAAGGATTATTCCAGCATGCCATTGCTATGGGGTTGCTAAACAGGAACCCATCTAAAGCGAGTGTCTCTGCCTCACCAGGAGATTCCCAGATAAATAAGTTGGCCTCTGTTAGCTACCAACACAAATCACACTGAATGACTAAGATTCAGGCTCAAACATCTGCTTCAAAACTCAGAACAGCTGGCTGCCTGGCCTGGGTAGAAAGGACCCCGTGTCCCATCTATGCATTCTGAAAGGTGCTGCTGGACTCAGCTCAGATTGAAGAGGGTGGGGGTGGAGAGAAGAGTTAATTAGTGCAACTCCCTCAGAAATGTTGCTGAGTATATACATACACAAGCAGAAAAAACAATCTCCAAAATCTCCCACACCACAGGACTTCTATTCAGCTGGATACAAGTCAGGCAATCATCACTTGCTTCCCACTTTCACCCAGCAATCAGACTCCAATAAATTCTAACTCACTGGGAATTTTATTTTTTTTTAACCTCAACATCAGACCTAACCAGCCTGTGCAGTTTTCTTCCTGATATAAGTCTCCGGACACAAAGGGCAGACACTCACTCTGGGGCCTCCAGCTATTGATTTCCTCCTCACCAGCCATCTGAAAATGCTGCAATCCAAATTCTCACCCATCATTCTTCCTACATCAACTTATTTCTCTGATGTCTTTGCTGACTCTCTTTCTGCTTCTCCATTGAGGTTAAGCTCCTTGACTTCACTTTCTAGGCTCTACACAGTGGAATTTGTGGTCACATCTCCTAGCCCTACCTCCTAGGCCCTACCCCTACCAATTCCTTTAATCTTGCTCAACAGTATGACTCTCCCTACCTGTCCTGGCTCTGCCTTTCCATCCACTCCCAATTACACTCAACATGTAAGAGTTAAGCCTATGGATTGCAAGCAGAGTGGTTATTTTAGCAGCCTGAACCTGGACTAACATGGTGATCAATACAATTTAGCTTCATCCATAGATATATTATATATATATCAAAGGATAACCTTTGATTTAGGTAGGTTATCATGATAACAAGTACATTTTTAAAGATTGGCTCCCCCCACTCCCTGTGTTAAATCTCAAGTCAATATTGTGTTAATTAACGTTTTTCTAAAAGCTGTTGCACTTCACAAGTAGAAACATGTTGCTTTACCTCTTCTTCAAACATCTCATTAAAATCCTTTGATTTAGCCTTAAGATACTCAATTTTCCACATTTATGGCAGAAAATATGCACACATTTCTTGTTTCAATGAAGTTTCTATCAAGGTATCATATATACCACTTTTTTTTTTTTTTTGAACAACACAAGCAAACTGATAAACTCTTAGCCAAGAAAACTTCCCTCCTTATTTTTAAACCATCTAACTGAAACATATAGTTTTTTCTCTCTTTATTCTCATATTGATGCAATAGAGTTCCAGCACTTTTACAACGAGCAAAGTTGAAGAAACACATTTCACAACAGGACTGCAAGGGACAAGATATGTGGTAACTCTTACATCGTGTGGAGTAGATTTATAACTGTTTTGAAGTCACTGCCAACAAGAATGCTGTGTCACCTATGCACAAACTTCCATTCTTGTTGTAGAAAAGACCAATCCCAAGAAATGGAGACTCATTTGGCCCTTTCACCCAAATGACTGAGAGCTCTGTGAGGTGCCCAGTGGCTATTCTGAATGCTTCAGTCTCATTTGCAGGAAACAAGTTTCCAAAATGAGTTTGACTTTCATATAGCAAGTCCTTAGCAGATTGTGAAAATTGAAGATGCTCGAGGAAACCCATCCAAACCTCAAAGCAATAATTATTATTGTTTTACTTTACTTTTAATCTTGCCCAGACTTGAAGAAAAAAAGGAAAAAAGACTTTAAAGAAAACTGAGGAAAGGAACCTTGATCCTGTTTGGGTCCTGAATTTTCCCATGGACTAGAAACACAGCCATGTGTAACTGTGATTACCTCATGCCTAAGCTGCACTACCAGGAAGTGTACTCACACCTCAAAAAGGTTATAATTTCTTTTAGGATAACATAGGAGAAAGAAGATATTCAGCTATCTGAAGTGATCATCATTCTTTAAATATAGGTTTACAGCCAGGCTTAAAACTTGATAATAAAATGAACAAGAAAATAAATAAATTCACTGCTCGTAGTTACACACACATGGAGATGACATTTTGCCAGGTTAGCAGCTTCCATACATGCATATCCATACAGTCAAATACATACAACAGTAGACATTTATTCACACAATTTTGTGTGACCACTACTTACAGGCAAAAGATAAGAAAGTGCTTGGGGCATGCATCTGGCTCTCCCTGCATTTGGAAGTGAAGCCTTCATACTAATATTCTCTTTCAAAAATGCTTGCAGATC